TGCAAAGATCCTAAGGCAGGAGCATGCTTTACCTATTCAAGTGACAGAAGAGATGTAGAAAATTGGCAAGATTTATATTTCAACAAAATTAACCCACTTTGGAATTCTTCTGTCATTTGCACCAGATATGTATAAATATCAGTACAGGAAACCATTTCTATTAAAGGAATATAGGGACCCTTCCTTCTTAGCTTTCTAGAGCATTCTTTTGAAAAATATTTTAAAGGTATATTGACTGTCAGCACATTAAAAAGACCCCAGTAGACCCCATCAAATGGAAACTTTCTGAGGGTTTTTTGGACTGACGTGTAAAGAAATTGCAAAATGGCCCGTTAAAAACTGAAAAGTGTTCGCTGCACTTAGAAATACTTAAAAGGTTTCTGGTCTTCAGTTTGGAACTCCTTCACCGTCTATCCACTACTGGGCTTCATGTTTTTATAAAGACCTTTAAATTCAGGGAGAAAAATGTACTTCAATCTATTTGTCCTTGTGTTTTAAGTATTTTTAGTACCTAAGAAGAACATCCGTGTAGCCTGATTATAGATGGGTTTAATGTCTCCTTTAAGTTCTGAATACTAAGGTAGTCAGAATCTCCTTTTTCTCTTAGAAACTGTACTCAGTTACTTCTGGTGTTATTTACAGCACACAAAGGCCACTTGAAAACATATTGAGAGCTATTTAAATGTCATTGTCAGAGGGTTTAAAAGGTTCAGGGGACCAGGACCTTTTTTCTTTAGGTTACCAAATCAAAAGTCATTTTGCTCTATAGTAACTAAAAGATGTTTTCACATGAAGGTTGCTCATGTGAAACCTTTGAGTTAGTTTTCTTTCTTTTTTTTCCTGTTAAGAATCCCTTTAGTGTGCAGTTAGAAGTTTCACAGTTAGCTTTTTTTCTCTAACTTTTTTAAAAAAACCATCAAACTTAAACAGAAAAGTTGCAATACAGTACAAAACTATTTTTTTCCGGAAATTTTGAGAGTAAGTTGCTGACATGATGCCCTATCACCCTTGAATACTTACTTTAGTGTGTATGTTCTGCCTTCTTCTACATAACCACAAAACAACTATCAAAATCAGGAAATTAACAATGATACATTTAATCCTCAGACCCCGTTCAGATTTCTCCAGCTGTTTCTATCATGTCCTTTACAGCAAGAGGATTCAGCTCAGAATCTCACATTGTATTGAGTTGTCACATCTCTTCGCTCTCCTTCAGTCTAAAACAGTTCCTCAGTCTTTCATGACCTTGACACTTTTGATGGTTATAAGCCAGTTATTTTGTAAACTACCCCTCAATTAGAGTTTGTGTGTTTTCTAATGGTTAGGTTCATGTTACGTATGTTTGGCAGGAATATCACAGAAGTGATGCTGTGTTCTTTTCATTATTAGGTGGCATGTAATTTTCAAAAATTTTATTTTATTAAGGTCATAATAGTTTATAACATTATCAGATGGCATGTAATTTTTCTTTGTCCCGTTACTTGATGATGATCACTTTGCTCAGTTACAGTGGTGTCTACCGGGTTCTCCACTGTATGGTTAGTCTTTTCATCTTTGTAATAATAAATATTTTGGGGAGAAGCACTTTGAAACTATATAAATATTCTGTTCATCATCAGACTTTCAATTTATTCACTTATTAATGTCAGTATGGACTCATGAAGTTGTTTTTTTCAATGGGTTATAATCCAATACTATTATTATTTTGATGCTTTCTTGTCCCAGATTTGGCCAGTGGAAACCCCTTCAAGATGATTTCTATATCTTTTTAACATATCTTCTTCATTCTGTGAGTACTTCCTTGCTTTCTGGCACAACAAAATGTTCCAGACTCATGTTATACTTTTCCCTGCCCCAATCCTGGAATTAACCATTTCTCCAAGTAGTCTGGTTCTTTTAGGTGGAGAATGATATTTAGAAGTTAATGTCTGGATGCTAGAAGCTGTTGTAGTGTCACTGCTCCTGGGTGCTCTCAGTGACAGGACTAGAGACTATATGTATGTATATCATACATACACACATTTACACCTATATTTTATATCTATTTATGTATAGTAGAAGCTACCCGTTCATGCCAATACTTCTATTTCCAATACAGTACCACAGATTTCCACATATGTTACTCCCTTCTGTGACAGAAAAAACTGGCTTTCATTATCCTTATTATGTTTTTCTTATTTCATCAATCCTCCTTTATATAACCAATCATCCCTTGCCACTGCCATCTCCTACTCAGTGCAGATGCTCTCATTGCCTCATTTGGGTTCTGACATCCTGTACCATGGCCACTGTTCTGTGTGGATACTTCTCAACTGCTTGGGCTCTGATCTGCTCATGCAAGGCTGCGCCTAATGGATGCCCTCTTCACCCCACTCAAGTGCTGACGCTTTGCACTGGATTACTCCCATGCATAGAAGCTCTCCTCACTCCATTTGGGCTCCATGGTGCCACCCCCACTGTCCCCATTTGAGTGCTTTGCTCACCGTGTTTAGGCTCTGAAACCCCACACCAGACCACCTCCATGCATAGATGTCCTCTTCACTATGCTCAGGCTCTGACTCCTCATGCTAAGCTGTCCCTTAGCTTGGATACCTTCCTCATCCCTCTCAGACTCCAGCACTCCAAGTCAGACAGTTCTCCTGCCTGAATGCCCTTCTTACCCTGCTCAGGCTCTGGCTTCCTGCGCTGTCTGCCCTCCATGTAGAATCCTTCCTCATCTGATTCAAACTACCCACCTCACACAGGCATACTCTTTATGCTGGTTGGTCTCCAGCAGCCTGCCCTGGACTGCCCCCATTCCTTGCATGGAAATTCTTCTCACCCATCTTGGTTTTGACACACCATACTAGGCTGCCCCTTTGCTTATTTTTAAAATATGTGTATTTTCCCTGACTTTATGCTTTGCTGCTAACATCTAATGGGTGATGTGTTAAATTTTTAAAATTAGGATAGAATATAAGTACAGTGATTATATTTAAAAAAAATTTGGAATACAACTGGATTATAGTATAGAATATTTGAAGTCAGTACTGTCCTGAACAGTTTTGGGTATATGATCACCATTAAAATAAAGAACAAAGGAGAGTTTAAATTTCTAGTAATGGAGGAGTACCTCCTGTTGAACCAGGCTTCCAATGGCTAACAATTATAGGTTCTGGACAAAATGTGAAAGAAATCTGTTTTCTGAAAGCACTGGAAAATGACCAAAACCAACCTGTTTTTATGGCTTTTTTTGCCAAGGGGAGGCCCTAGTTTTAGACTCAGGGTGACCAAAACCTGGGTAGTAAGTCCACAGTTTTACTGGCTTAAAAAAACCTAGCAACTACAGCAGCTGGGAAGTAAGGGGAGAAATCTTGGAATGGAGAATGCTGAGAGGGCTTTTTTGTGTATAAATTCTCTGGCTGATCCAAATCTCTAGCTGATCCTTGAACTACACATACATTGGTCACACTCTGAGCAGCCTATGTGAGACTAAAATAACTGAATATAGGTTTATGCTTCTGCAAGCATGACCAACTTGTCCCAGTTTCTGTGAGACTGTGAAAGTTCTGTGGTCTGGGAAAACCCTCAATCCTAGGCATACTGGGACATTTGGCTACCCTAGCTGCTGCCTACCACAAGTGAGACAGAACTTGAGTTTGAGTCCAGACAAGTTAAATACATGCTTTAAAAGTAAAATAAATAGAGAAAAACTCCTATACACTTCAAAGGAATATAACAGAATCCAGAAATTCTGTAACACATCTTTACAATATGCAGGGTACAATCCAAAATTATTAGGTCATATGAAGAAGCAGGAAAATGTGACCCATACTCAAGAGAAAAGGAAATCAATGGTGACTGACTGCAAGATAACATAGATGTTGAAATTGGGAGACAAGGATCTTAAACAGCTATAATAATTATACTCAAAGATGTAAAGGAAAATATACTTGTAATGAATTAACAAATAGGAAATCTCAGCAGAGAACTATTAAAAAAGAAAAAAATGGAAATTCTAGAGCTAAAAATTACAACATCTGAAATAGAAAACTCATTAGACAGGCCTAACATCAAATTAAGATGACAGAAGAATGAGTAAGTGGACTTCAAGATACATTAGTGAAAGTATTGAGTCTGAATAACGGAGAGAAAAAAACACTAGGGGAAAAAAGAACAGAGCCTCAGGGAACTGTGAGAAAATATGAAAAAGTCTAACATACATATAATTGAAATCCTAGAAGGAAAAGACCAAGAGAATGGAGGAGAAAAAAAATATATGAAGAAATAATGGCTGAAAATTTCTCAAGTTTGGTGAAAAACATAATTTTACAGATAAGTTCAGTGAACCCAAGTGTATAAATTCAAATAAAATCAAACCTAGGCATATCAGAGTCAAACTGCTGAAAACCAAAGGTAAAAAGAAAATTTTGAAAGCGTTTGGAGAAAAAGAATACATTGTGTATAGGAAAAAAACAATACAAAAATCACTGACTTCTTATCAGAAACAATAGAGGCTAGAAGATAGTGGAATGCCATCTTTAAAGTGCTGCAACAAATTGTCGACCCAGAATTCAGTATCAAGTAAAAATATCCTTTAAAATTGAAGGCAAAATAAAGATATTTCCAAATAAATGAAAACTAAGAAAAGTTGTCACTCACACAGTTGCACTACTAGAAATGTTAAAGGAGGCTCTTGAGACTGAAGACAAATGATACCAGATGGAAACTCAGGTCTTCGTGAAAAGATGAAAATCACAAAAAATATTAAGTGTGTGGGTAAATACAAAGTACTAATTTTTTCCTCTTAATCTCTTTAAATTACAGTTGCTACATAGATAATTCCTTTTATTCTCCTTGAGGCATTTTTTTAGGGAGGATGTAGAGAAGGAATAGTCCTGCTCTTGAAGAGGAAATCTCCTGCTAAGACTTCCAAAATGGTATCCTTATTAAATTTAGAATGCTCACATCTGAAAAAATTTGCTCTAAGTCACTAATATTTATAATCCTTTTCTTTTCAGATATAAAACCAAATTTGGAACTGAAAAGCACTCAGGAGCAGTCTGTGCCCACAGGTAATATCAAGTCTTTCCTCTCTGGAAATATACCTTTAACTGAAATTACCAAGAAAGAGGAATATTTGATTGCAGTAAAAATGCTATGGAAATATGTTGGGGGAAAAAAATGTGGTTGTCCCTTCCTGGTACAAAAATAACTCATCCATTGAGATCATATAAGTTCTTTGGCATCATAGGACCAAACCACACCCCACCTAGTGTTAATCACTCTTTTTTTTTCTTTTTACAATTTTTCAACTGATTGGTTTGAATAAAGATAGTTTTTGTTGAATAATACAGTAGCTTAAATTTGAATGACTTGTGCTTTTCACTCTAAAATAGTGATTAGCAAACTTTTTTTGTAAAGGGCCAGATAGTAAATATTTTAGACTTGTCGGACCACATATGGTCTCTGTTGCATACTCCTCTTTATATTTTTTACAACCCTTTAAAACAGTCAAAACCATTCCCACCCCCTGGGCCCATACAAAAGCAGGCCATGGTTAGATCTGACCCTGGGGGGCCAGCCCCATGGTGTAGAGGTTAAATGTGCGCGCTCCACTGCTGGCGGCCCGGGGTTTGGATCCCTAGCGCACACTGATGCACCGCTTGTCAGGCCATGCTGTGGTGGTGTCCCATATGAAGTGGAGGAAGATAGGCAGAGATGTTAGCCCAGGGCCAGTCTTCCTCAGCAAAAAGAGGAGAATTGGCATGGATGTTAGCTCAGGGCTGATCTTCCTCACAAGAAAAAAAAAAAAAGATCTGACCCTGGGGCCATAATTTGCTGACCTCTGCTCCAGAATAAACTGTAAACATTTAAAATAATTTATTTCCTAAAAATAACTTCTATATTTTCTCCATTGATTAACTCACTTTGTCTGAATCAAAGCTTGTGCTGTGTTACAAAATTTATCACCTGTGCCTTTTTATGTTGCTGTGAGCTATAACCTTATATTTTCATTTAAACTGTACCTCATATTAGTTGTTCGATGTGCACTTTATGTTAGTCATTTCAGGCTTGAGAAAAGTGAACCAGCGTTTAGGACAGTGTGTTAGAGTTCATAGAGTATATGTTACAATATGCAGAAATTAGAAACTTTACCTATTTATAAATCAAAAGGTGAGTCCATGATGAGCACATTTTCAGAGCTTCTAAGTCATGGATTTTATGAAATATGTTTCCCTTTTACTCCTGCATTCCAGTAAAAGTCCTGCAACATGTGTTTGGTCATGGCTGCAGCTGAAAGGAATGCCGCTACAGAGTTTCCAGTCACGTCTCCTGCTTCAGCCCAGCTTACACACTGCAGGATCCAGTGTCTTTGACTATTTGTTGCATGTAATAGGTTCTCAGTAAATATTTTATTGAATATTGGGAAGGAGTTTGATAGAAAGTGGGTAACTTTTCAGTTAATTTTTTTTTTTTTTGTGAGGAAGATCAGCCCTGAGCTAACCTCCATGCTAATCCTCCTCTTTTTTGCTGAGGAAGGCTGGCTCTGAGCTAATATCTATTGCCAATCCTCCTCCTTTTTTTTCCCCAAAGCCCCAGTAGATAGTTGTATGTCATCGCTGCACATCCTTCTAGTTGCTGTATGTGGGACGCGGCCTCAGCATGGCCGGAGAAGCGGTGCATTGGTGCGCGCCAGGGATCCGAACCCGGGCTGCCAGTAGCGGAGCGCCTACACTTAACCGCTAAGCCACGGGGCCGGCCCCTAGTTCATTTCTTTTGTTATCATCATTTTGTTAAGCTACCCTGCTTATAGGTGAAATAATTCCAGCTACATTGTGTCTTTTTTCTTACTTCTAATATTATCAATATTTTATTGTACAAAATTATATTTCCATTAAACTTGATTTCTAATGTTTGCTGTTTATTTAAGCATGCTTTTATTATGTCTGTTCCCTTTCACTAGTGAGCCCCCATAACACTTTGTATTTCCCTTAATTTCTTACCTTATAGATATATAATCTCTCAACATTATAGGTTTGTGTTATCTCTTGTCTGAATCTTGCATTAGAGTTGTGGGCTTGTCTTATCTACATCTTCAAAGTATAAGCTCCTTGAGGATAGGAATTATGACTTATTCATCTTACCTATAGCCTTGTCAGCATTTAGTAAATGTTTGAAGAAATAAAGGAACTTGGAGGCCAAGATGTTTTCCACAGAATCACATTTATAATGTGAACAGACAGGGAAAGTAGGATTTGGTATACAGAAGCTTACAGGCTACCTCTCTGGAGAGCATTTTCCCAAATTGGATTATGCCAGTATTTTCAGGCTCACTATTTCTCATCACCACGTATTGATACTTCTTGGTCATCAATAGCGATAGCATCCTACTGAATATTGAGGCATACCGAAGGAGAGAGAACTTCTGTCTAGGAGGAACTTGAGTACATTTTAACTCAGATGAAAGAAATATTCAAGAAAATCATGTCTAATGGAAAGGTACATGAACCCTGGACATATGTTTCTAAACTGCAAGAGTTTTCACATATATCCCACTTGGGGTATATGTGAAAGAGATACTGTCTATCACTAAGCGATTGTGTGAAGCTGAAATGGGAGTCTACTTAATACATATTTATAAAAACTCTTTAAAGTTGACTGCATAGTTAAAATTCTTTTTATCTCCTAGAAGGTCCAGTGATTTTGAATGACTACGATTTAACCAAACCTCATGAAACAGAAAATGTGGACAGTGCAGAAGGCCCAGGAAATGAAGATGAAGATATAGGAGGTGAGCCATAGTGTACCGACTAAAAACTAATGGTTATAGATGTGGTCAAGGTTTAATATGAAGAAATCAGGAACTCTTCAAGGAAAACTTGCATTTGTGGGTTAAGTTGGGAGTAATTCAATTTTGCTCATTTTACAAATATTTGCATTTATGGGCCTGCCCCATGGCTTAGCGGTTAAGTGTACGCGCTCTGCTGCTGGCAGCCTGGGTTCGGATCCCTGGCGCGCACCGACGCACCGCTTCTCCGGCCGCATCCCACATACAGCAACTAGAAGGATGTGCAGCTATGACATACAACTATCTACTGGGGCTTTGGGGGGAAAAAAATAAATAAATAAAATTATTTAAAAAAAAATTTACATTTAATAATTTCCTATAGGTTATCAGCAAATTTTGAGAATTTAAGGTGCTTATTCAGTGTTCAAGTTATACTAACTTCATTTTAAAAATAACATGTATTTTATTCTTTTCATTATAAAAGTAATACATGTTCATTATAGAAAGTTTGTCTGGGGTGTTTTCTAACACCAATAACCAATTTTCCAATTCTCCAGATACCATCTGGGCATCCAGCAATTCAATTTAATTCTCATGCTAACTCCTGGAGTTAGAGCAGAACCCGCAGGTTAATGGCTCAGTCTCACAAGACTACCCTCACTTCAGACACCAGTTGAAAGTACTAGGTCTCCAGGTTACCTGCATTTCAGCCTAGCTTGGCTACTTAGGGGTTTCTCACAAATGCCCCTCAGGTTTGATAATTTGCTAGCATGATTCACAGAACTTAGGAAAGCACTTTACCTTCTATTGCCGGTTTATTATTAAGGATAATACTCAGGGAAAGCCAAATGGAAGAGATGCATAGGACAAGGTATGAGGTGGGAGGACATGGAGTTTCCATGCCTTCTCTGGGCACACTACCCTTCCAGCACATCCCTGTGTTCACCAGAAGCCCTCTGAATCTCATTGTTCAGGAGTTTTTATAGAGCTCAATCTGCAGTCCCTACTCCGCTTCCTGGAGGTTGATAGATGGGGCTGAAAGTTCCAACCCTCTAATTACTTGGCCTTTCTGATGACCAGCCCATACTGAGGCTATTGAGGGGCCCCACCCTAAATCATCTCAGTAGCATAAACTCAGGTGTGATTGAAAAGGGTTTGTTATGAATAACAAAAGACACTCCTATCACTCAGCAAATTCCAAGGGTTTTAGGAACTCTGTGCCAGAAATCTGGGATAAAAACCAAATATATTTTTGTATTATACCACAGGCTACCCCCTGGTCTTTGACCACAGATCTCTTATAGCAAAAGGATCATAAAAGTCAAGAGATACTGGCACATTACTAGAGTCACATTCAGTCATTAATAATTAGTCCAGTCCATTATCATATCATATGAAAATGTCTCACAGGGTAGGGCCACTCAGGTTTGTAGGCTTCCATTTGATCTTGTCAGGTTTCAAAAGCAGAAGTGGTCTCAGCAATATATGCCTTTACCTTTTTAGGCATCTGGTATAATTGAGCTAAGAGACAATATTATTCTCTTGCTCTGAGCCTCTCTTGAGATTTTAATATAATGGTGGACTTCCTTCATTACATAACCTGTTGATTCATTCCTTTACCCTCAGCTACATTCCTCCTTTTCTCCACTTACTTATACCTAAACTTTTCCACCTTTGGAAGGAACATTAGGTTTAGCCACTGTGCTGGTCTAGATTGCAGGTGGTAATACTAGTCTAGCAAGTGCCTCCCCCTCTGTCTATTCCTATTCATATAGGGTAGAGTTACTTAGGTACAGAACTAGTGGACTGTTTTAACCACTAGGGAACATAGCTGCAGTCACTGTTAACCTCAGGTTTGCCAAATGGAGTGAATGCACAACCTGCCCTATCAAGCCTTTAGGAATTCTGACATAAAGGTTTAAAACTACAGTTACAGTTTCTTTTTTTTTTTTTTTTTTTAAAGATTTTATTTATTCAGTTTTTTGCCCCCAAAGCCCCAGTAGATAGTTGTATGTCATAGGTTCACATCCTTCTAGTTGCTGTACGTGGGACTCGACCTTGCGTTGGACGGAGAAGTGATGCCTCGGGGCGCTCCCGGGATCCGAACCCGGGCCGCCAGCATCAGAGCGCGCGCACCCAACCGCCAAGCCACGGAGCCGGCCCTACAGTTTCTTGCTTAGGAATCATCCCTGTTTCCGGCACTTGTAGTGGTAGTCCTGGTCCTGCGACCACTGCATCAGGTAGAAAAGAGAAAGTTGAGGTGATGTGAGGAAGAAAAAAAAGTATAGTCATCATACCAGTGTCCTCTCCCCTTGGGAAAAATTGCACAGTCATACTAGCATCCTTCCCCATTCCCTCTTCCCCAGATCTACCAGAAAAACAGAGGAATCTATTTAGTGGGGATATTCCCTCAGCCTCTCTCATGTTGAGTGTGAGAATACATTCTTCTAAAGATTTTTTTTTTTTAATTTTCCCCCCAAAGGCCCAGTAGATAGTTGCATGTCATAGCTGCACATCCTTCTAGTTGCTGTATGTGGGACGCGGCCTCAGCATGGCCGGAGAAGCGGTGCGTTGGTGCGCGCCCGGGATCCAAACCCGGGCTGCCAGCAGCGGAGCGCACGCACTTAACCACTAAGCCACGGGGCTGGCCCTTGAGAATACATTCTTGAAGACGTGTAAACCAACCCTTCTTGCTCACATCGCCCCATCTTTTTTTTTTTTTAAATGGGTTGTATTTTATTTTTTTTATTCAATTATTTTTTGTGTGTGTGAGGAAGATCAGCCCTGAGCTAACATCCATGCCAACCCTCCTCTTTTTTTTGCTGAGGAAGACTGGCCCTGGGCTAACATCTGTGCCCATCTTCCTCCACTTTATATGGGACACCGCCACAGCATGACCTGACAAGCGGTGCAGCGGTGCACGCCCGGGATCTGAACCGGCGAACCCCGGGCCGCTGAAGCAGAGCACGCACATTTAACTGCTATGCCACGGGGCCGGCCCCTCTCCCCCGTCTTAACCAGTGTTTCAGTTGCCTATTCCAATTCTCTATGAAACTGTTATTCTGAGGAGGTTGTCTCTCTGCCCGTTGTTTGACATTTTGGGCTGTAAAGTATGTTCCTTGGTCTCAAGAAATGTGACTTGGTGGTCCAAATTAGTGCAATATCTTCTGTTCTAGTTTTTTTAATAGTACTCTGACCATTTGCATCTACTATCAGGTAAGCAAAGCCTAGTCCAGAGTCAATGTCTATCCTGTCAAAACCCATTTGTAGCCCCCCTGGAGCTACTGGCATTGGTTCAGTGTAATCCACTTGCCGGCTATGTGCGGAGCCTTCCCCTGATGAATCTTCCCTGTAGCCATCTGCAGCTTCTGTCTCTCTTGCTGACAGACAGAACAGTTCTTGTTGGCACTTTGAGCCTCAGAGGGTGCAAGAGGAATATGTCCAGATTCAGCTTTTTGCATTGCTGTGGTCCCCAAATGTCTACTCATTTCGTGGACCCACATAGCCCCCTCAAGCAAGCACACTGTGATATCCACTCGTTGGTTCCAATCACCTTCCAAACCTGGGCATCAACATGTCCTACTTTAATGCACTCCTCAAATTCCCATAGTGATTTCCATAGGGCCTTGCCCCATGTGGGCATCTGCTTAATAGATCAGGTTTCCATTGCCTTTCTGCCTACATGCATCGCCCATGAGTCAGGTAAAAACTGAAACATAGAGGCTTTTATCATTGTTCAATTCTTCCGTCACTGCTAGGAAAACAACATGTAATTCATCCTACCAAGCTGATTTGTTTTTCCCTTCTTCAGTCAAGGTGGTCTTCCAAACAGGATATTGTCCACTTATCTTGGAACTGCCATCCATAACCCAAGCACATCTTTGTTGGTCTGTCAAGAGCTGTTTATAGGACACTGTCCAAGTAATGATAGAATCTGGCAGCTCCTCACATAGTTCCAAAGTCAGCCCTTTCAAAGTCCTTCCAAAGTTGGAGAAAAGAGGCCTCCCTGCTTGCATCTCCTGCTTGCATTCCCCAGGTAGCATAATCCTCTATAAACTATTTCCATTTTATTATGGAAGTCTTCTGGCATTGCCCTCCCCATTAGAGCATTTCTCCGACACCACCTAAAACATCATGAGTATTTCAGATAGTAAGACTGTTTTTTGTCCTGCAATCATAGGAGCAGTTCCAATTAATGTCAGATAGCAGACTATTAATTGCCCCTCAGATGGAAATTCTCTATTCCATAGTCCCAGTAGTCATCGCTGGGAAGCACTCACAGGCTTGCCATAAGCCCGAGTCTATATAGAGCTATTGCACAGAATTTGTCTGTACCAGCACTCCGCTTCTCTTCTACACTGTGTGGACTTGGGCAATCTTATCCATTCCCATTATCCATTCCCGTGTCCAATTAATATTGTTTGAAGGACTGATTTACATACTTTCTGTTTTACAGAAACAGTTTCCCAGTCAGACACAATGTCCATCCCTATAATACATTCAGGTTAAAGAAACTCAACCACTTCAAACATACCAGTTTTCCTCCAAACTTTCACCTTAATCTATCAACCCTTACATTCCTAACTGTAACCTCCATTCAACAGGTTTTGGTTTTATAGAACTAGGTAGGAGAACTGTTCCCCAGTCAGACATAATATCCATTCCCATAAAATATTCATGTAAAGGAGATGTAACTTCTTCACATAAAGTCTGTTTAAACATTCCAATTTTCATCCAAACTTCCACCATAATCCTATCAACTCCTACCTTTCTATACTCTCTCAATCTAATTGAAGCCCCCTTTAGGGCTTCACTATCAAGTTTTGGTACCATAGTGCATGAGGCACCCATGCCAGGGAGTCCCAAAAACTTTTCTTCTCCACCCCCTGACCATTTTACCCTTTCATGTGCAAAAGGCTTTGGGTCATTAGTGACAAGTTGAGCCAAGGGACTGTGGCCCTTTTGTCATGACAAAGATTAATCTGCCTATTGTCCTAGGCGAT